AAACCTGAGCTACTTCACTACCCAGCTGGATACACTAAACCCAAATCGACATAAGTCTGACTTATGCTTTCACACTAATACAGACATCCCCACCCTTTTCCTGTGCAGTTAGAATTTTATGCACATTTCAAATTATCCATTACCAAATGTACGGAGAGACGTCATGCTACAGATTACAAGTTAAACTGAAAGCTGCAGGAAATGGTGAAACCATTCCAGCGGACCGTTGCATCGGCTTGCAAAAATCTGACCCTAAGAAGAACTGGCCGGGGTGTGCGCGTTAGCGGCTAATCATAAATGATCAAAGCGAAAGGCAGACAAAGCGAATGGAAGGAGACACAAAACCTTCAGCTTACAACAGGCCTGAAAATAGCACTGACACATTATCTTGGCGCGTGCATAAGCCAGATTCACACGTGGATATTTTTTTCCGGGAGCTACTATGAAGGCAGGATGGCAGTTGCCAGGCCCCCGGCTGTATGGTTCTCGCTTTTTCTCTGTCCCTCTGTCTGTGGGCGGAACCAGATCTCCGCCCCCTTCCAATCGCCCTCCGCCCCCCCCCTTGAGGGCCAGCCGCGGGACCCTCGCCGGCCGGGGGAGTCCGGCTCGTCCGTGACTGACGGCTGTCAGGGTCGATCGTGTCACTGCAGACCCGGACCCTGCTTCCCTGCCCACGTCTTCACAGGAAGCAGAAGGCTTCACACCCTGACCGTTCTCTCCAGGTACCGCAGCTTTCACACTGTTCACTGCAGCACTTGGAAGGGGAGGCGGAATTGCTAAAAGTAGGGAAACAGTGTTCAGGTGGAAGGTAAATCATCTCATCAGTGTTCTACTCCCACACGTTATCCAACTACAGCGATGGCAATCATTATCGTTAGCTATGTTAATCCCAAGCCAACGTCTGGCATCCCTGCCCCATATGAACGGCCCATTGTGACCATTTTAAAGAGCATTCTTTCTAAAAGCTGCATGCATGGCCGAGCAAGCTAAAGGCTGGCGCCACCATGAGTCACGAGATGTCTGCAGCCCCTGGGCTGACGGCCATGCCCTACCGGCTCCTGTCTTCTCTCTCAGGGCAGAAGTCAGGGGCCCCAGCCTATCACAAGCAATCAGATACACATCGAGTGACCCCTGACCCCTGTTCTGTCACACATGCTGCCCTTAGCCATGGCTGTGGGTGGAGTCTGGCGAGGTATTTAGGACACTTGGATTTTCCGGGAATCTGGATGTGTCCTGGCAGGCGGGAGGGGGTCACCGCAGGTGAACAGGGAAGCTCCGGGGGCCAAAGCCACGTGCACACTCAGTGTCCCCCCCCGGGACCTGTGTGCGTCCTTCAATGCGCCTCGATGACTTTTCCGCTCAGCACCGATCAAATGACCTAGATGCCATGAGCAGACAGAGACCCTGGGCAAATCGCCCCCCTCCCCCAAGATCAGTAGGTCCAGGTGTACTGTCGGCTTCAGGGGGTTAACCTCCTCAGGGAGTAGAGGTGGAGTGGAGGAACAAAAACTGGAGGGGGGGGGGGCACGCATCCCTGAAAATACATCTTATTATTATAACATGACATCTCACAATGGAATCCTAGTAACTGAATGTAAGCCACTGCCAGACTGCATCTGAACACATTAAAAAGATCCCGCATGGACGGCTCACCATTATGGGTTCCAGGCTCAGCAATTGGCACGCATGTTTGTGCAAAAAATGCGAGTAACGATGAAACAATAATGGGCCGTGTAATTAATGCAGCTTAACAGCGGGTCGCTGTTAGACCCTGCAGGAAGATGGCCTGGCTTTCAGCAAGGCCGTCCCCTTAACCACTACGCCATCTGCTGTCAGCAAGGGGCAAGTACATGGCAGGCTACAGATCTTGGGGCAAGGAAGGCACACCCAGTGTTTGTGAGGGAGATGTCGCTCCAAAAGGCCCTGGGGCACCATGGGTCTGGATTGGTGGGGGGGGGGGGATCCATTAGAGGTCAGCAATGCGGAGCCTCGGGTCCTAAAGGGCGGAGGGAAGGAAAATAAGCCCTGACAGCTGTCATGGGAAATAACCACCCCCCCCCCCCTTCCCCCAAATCCTTGTCTCCAGGAACCTTGATATTTCGCAAATTCAAGCCTAACAATTCAGCCAGCACCTTTGCCCCCCACCATTGCCCGGACTAGCTGTTTGGCTATTTAAAGATCCTGAAACCATCTCATGGTAACGTCACAGACCTGGGGGGGGGGGGGGTTTGTCAGTATTTTCTGGCTCCTCCCTCCTTCCCCCCCTTTCCTCCTCTGTCTCCGACTCTCGATGCCGAAGCTCTGGCAGGTCATTTTAAGTCGTGCTGGGAGATGAAATTGAAATGGGAAAATCAAGCTGATTCTTGTTAGGAGATGTTCTGCTGTTCTATTCTCAGAACGTATTTAGGATCCTGAGCTTTGGTCATGACTGTCAATCTGGCACCTTAACTGAATAAAAACAGCAGCTCTGTTTTTTTTTTTTTCGCCACCTTGCCGGGTTTTAATTTAAAGCCCGCTAAGGAACGTTGGTGCCACGTCGTGCGGAGTCACATTTAAGCGATCAGCGCAGATCAAACCACTCTGCAGCAGATGCCGTCTGAGCGAGATGCACACAAACAGCTCGGGTGCTTCTCTGTCAATCACGTGTCGGGGGGGGGGGGGGCCCAAATGTCAAATGATCGGGGCCTAGGGGTTGGCTGAGACCATTGCAACAGTACCTAATACTGCTTACCCCAATTAAACTCCCCCGCAGAACCCAAGCACTGCACTATCAGAAGAAGCCATGGAGAAGGCAGCACTGCACAGCCTAACATGGAAGCCTAACACTGCTACCTTAGAACCCAACACAGTAGAGCCAACAGTAGACCTCACAAATTAAGAGCCAGTCCCTGTAGAACCCAATAATGAACAGCCAGTATCTGGAAAACCCCACATTATATGTCCTAACACAGTATTACCCAACACTGCAGAGTCAGCTCCAAAAGAAACCAACAAGTGAGAACCAATTCCTAGGGAACCCCATCACTGTACTGGCTCAGTATTGGCCAAGACTGGAGCACCAGCATCTGGAGAACCTGGCACTCTAGTGCAGTGTCACCCAATCTGGTCCTCAGGGACCCACAGTAGGTCATATTTTTGCTCCCTCCAAGTTCCATGCTAGACGGTCCACATTTTTGCCGGAGAGAGCAAAAACGTGGACTGTCTGTGGGACACCGAGGACCGGATTGCGAAACACTGCTCTGGAGCCTAGAGCCCATTAGAACCCAAACTCATATCAGCCAAATCCATCACTGGAACCCACCCCTCCACCAAAATGGGCACTCGCCCGCAGGACAGACTTCAGCGGCAGGAAGGCTAGCTGCAGCAGCGGCAGGCAGGCTGAATCAACGGATTATTTTTAGGCCGTGTTGATGAAGTGGGAGGGGGGCATGACGGGCGGGGAGAGCAGACCCTGTCAGCCATGTGCCTCTAGTGCCCCGGACAACCGCACATTAGCATGGCAGGCTCAGCCCCCTCCACATCAGCACCAGTCACATGACAGGGAGCTTCCCAGTGCCTCTTAACCAGCGGGGAGGAGGGGTGGGGGGTGGGCTAGAAACACACCCCCCTGATGGCCAACGTGAAAGGTGCAAACCTACCTGTCAGAAATGCTGGCCATGTATGTAAAAACACAAGGACCTTTCGAAGTGCTTCTACCAGAAGGTTGCTGGTTTGAAATCCAAAGTCGGAAAAGGGATTTCCCTGTTGGGCCCTTGAGCAAGACCCTCAACTGCGATTGCTCTGGCTAACCCTGCTGCTTTCTCAACTTTGGATAAAAGGATTGAATCAAATGCTTTAAATAGATTAGATTGATAGATCTATAGACAGACATGATGTACATTTTTCATTCAAAAAGATGTGCACTTGCACAGCTGTAAATGTCCTGCAAGAGGTTATTCTGTTGTACCCTTGAGTTTAATGCTCAGGCTGAACGGCTCCAGGACAAATGCCAGAGCATGCTAGTCCTTGATGTCTTTATAGAAGAGTTACTCGCACTAGAGCAGCAGGCAAAGGTTATAGACAAAGACCTGTGACCTGAGGAAGACCCTGCCACTGCACAAACAAGTGAAAGCAAATTTAAAAGGAAACTTAAGAAGTTAAACAGTTGCTTTAAAGGACATCAATTACTGGCACCTCCAGGTGGGGGATTCCGGTCGTCCCTTTTGGTGTGTGGGCCTGCATCCCAAAGTCATGCAGCTATGGTGAACTGGCATCTCTAAATAGCTCTTAGTGTGTGAACGGAAGCTTGAGATGCGATCAGGAGAGATGAAATCTGATAAATCGATCATATACCATTCAACAAAGTAATGAACGTCAACGTCTGGCCTTATCAGCTGTTTTAAATATATCTCGGCAGAATTTTGACTCATCTCAAGAAGAAAATCGTCTCAGATTAGTTTCTAACCCCAATTCATCCCAGAGCATTATGTTGGGTTGAGGTTGGGGCTCTGTGCTGATTGAGAACATTCTACTCCGAACACCAAAATCATCTCCTGTAATTACAAGATGGCCAGTGGTATTTGGTTGGACAGTCGAGATACAGAATAGCAGCTTCAAGAAGGACTCTGTTCTTGCACTTTAGAGGAGCAAATCCAGCTGTATGTGGGGGTAAAGCCACACAGGCTGCTGTGGACTGATACATCAGCTAAGCCTGACCTGAAAATATAAGAAGATACAGTGATTCATGGGAGATGGAGCAGGAGAAGTTCACACGTGTTAGAGCCTGCGGTGCCTGCCAGCGCCAGGCAGACAAGCCACGTCTTGTGCTAAACCCCCTGTGAAATGACTTCAAAGCCTGATTCTCACCCTATTCCCAGGTCGGTCCGTGCCTTTCAGGCCCATATGCCGGGTGTCTGCAGCATGCCGGCTGGGCGGAGCTAAAAGCGTCCCCGAGGCAGCGTGGTACGTATCAGAATAACTCTGTTTAAGGAAAATCATGGCAAAAATTACACTAATCCTACCAGGCGTCCGGATTCGCTTCCCGGCAAGATCCCCAGTACGGACGTCAACACGTCAGAGAGAGAAAATGCGCTCCCCGCATAAGCAATGAAAGTGAGAACAGGATAAAAATAGTTATTTTGGAGCCGGGAGGGGGGGGGGGCTTCACTGGAGAAACTGCAGCTCTGTGTGATAGTCTGGATTAAGGCAGAGTCACTGAATCCCGCCTCTCAAATTTGACATATTTGACAGAGAAGGAATAAAGAAAAATAAGCATTTGCAACCAGTTTGGGTGTGTCAAACACTGCGGGCATAGCCTACTCAAAAACTATCCAAACACACGAGATCGTTGCACTCAGCATGAGAGCTTGATTTGCGCTGCCACCTGCTGGCTCCCTGTGGTACATATTCCCGTTATCAGCATTACCATTTGGTGGGATATTTCCCCAGCCCCCCTCCTCCCCCTCCCGTTTCCCTTTATAGCATAAAGCAGAAAAGGAAATAAATGGGAGCCCATGAAGCAGATCCTATTTGCACGCAATTTCCTGTAACTGCAGAAATGCTGCAAGCAAAGGAGCTACAGGTGTTCATATCACCCGAAAAGGGCGTTTCCTCTTCTGCGTACAGGGCATGCAAAGTCATACATATATAATGTATACTGTATAAGCCTGCCGGAACCCAGGCGGGAGAATGATTGGCTGTTTGCACTAGGAATATGAATGTTAAAGCCAATCACATTCAGGGACTTCATTCCAAAACTGCAGTGATGTCATACAGACGAATAGAGACGTTTCTAAACTCGTAACAGATGTGTGTGACACTGGGGTCTATATTAATGGTACCTACAGACAGTACATGTAAATATAGCATCTGGGAGTTTTATGCCTTGTTAAAGCCGAAAGAGCTGTACTTAGTGTTTCAGGGGGATGGTGAACGGTGGAGGCTTCCTATTGGACAGGGGTGTCACATGGGGCAGGGATTTTGTTTACTGAAACCGTTCAGCTTGATTTTAACGTTCCGGTCACAATAATGATGAATATCTATCTAATACACGCAGGGTGCCCGTGATAGGCGAGAATCGATGAAACTCCAGGAATGACATCGCTAATGCAGGGGGAAACTTCATACACGGCTCAAGAAAAAGTAACATTGAATCCAGGAGCGTGAGGCTATTCAAGTCTGACTGCAAAGCAAGTTTTAAGGAAGATGAGTGAACATTGGGGTCACACTAGAGAGGAAACACCAGAGGCAGCGATCGAGCGGGGGGGTCAATAGTGTAGTGAGACATCACACGGGGGTCACACCTGCGTACGTGTACACGGTTCTGTTCCAGGTCCTGTCAGGTGGAAGGATTTATTTGTAGTCATGACAGCAGAGAGAAAATGGCGAACATTGAAAGCTGAGACGGCAAACCGAACAAATGTCTCCCGCGACAAACAAGCACAGACCAAGGCCAGCACCGACTGCCGGCTACCTCACAAATCCTGGTTTTTGTCCTTTAAATAAGATTAATAGAAAAAAAAGTCCACTTTTCCTTTGAAACATTTTTGTTCTGCGTGCCTAATGCGAGTGTCCTGCAGGCGCTGCCACTCCACAGTGTCACACAAAAGTGTCTTTCTCCCCCCTCGGGGTCACCGTCCGTCTGCTCTCCAGTTTGGTCGTGGCGTCAGTTCTGAGTCTGTATTCGAGGGCAGAGGGTGGGAAGCGAATGAAAAGCAAACCAATTTAAAAAAAAAAAAAAAAAGGATTCATGGGAAATAAAGCCGGCGCGATGTCAGGGAATGTCAGGCCTGTAGGGGGCAGTATGAGGAGAAAAGTGCTCTGTGATCTGGAGGCAGGCTGGCACAGAGCGACAAAGATGGGCCATATACTGATATGCCACATGACATGGTCGGTATGGAAACAAGGGGCTGGCCGGGTGGGAGGGGCAGCGAAGCTTCAAACAAGACTAATGGTGGGGGAGGGGGGGGCAGAGTGAGGAGGCCACAGTCTCGGGGGGAGACATGCATTGCCAGGTATTCAGCAGGCTGCTCCCCCCTCAAAGGCAGAGTTCCTCGGCCCGAATGTGCTGCAGCCTCTCCCTCAGCCAGCAGAAGCTGGGCCGCCCCTCCGGGTCCAGATTCCAGCACTGCTTCATGATGTCATAGACCACGGGCGGACAGTCATCCGGGGCGTCCATCTTATAACCTTTATCTACACGGGGCACCACATCCTTCAGGGCCTGGAGGGCAAAAAAAAGAAAAGAAAAAAAATGGATGGGGGACAAGATACCATGGAAGAAGGATCGTTTGTTCCACTTCTACCTAAAAATTTCAGAACCGTAATATTGTAAGCAAACTTGCCTAAAGGTTTTGGGGTCAACTCCCTGGATAAGCTCCGCTCTAAGATTTGAACTATGGGACTCAACGTGATTTGCCAACAAACTAATAATTGTTGAAAAAAAAATACACATGGAATCCAGAACCAGGACAGAATATTCCAGAAAGAGCAGATCAGACAATTCATGCAGGTCTGGGGAATTGTGTATAATTTGGGCACAAGGCCATGAGTGACAGGTGCATCGAGCAGGCATGTCGTAAACAGGAGGCCCCAACAACACAGGCACTCCTGGGAAAGTGAGCCTGTAACCAGTCTTCTGCTGAAGAGAGACTGAATCCAGTGATTAATTAAAAAGTGCCAATACAGAGGAGAACTACAGATGGCTCTTAGGACGGGCAGGCGGGGGTGTTCTGGCTTTAATTACAATCCAATCTGCTGGCTTAACTCAGGATTATTAGTTAATTATTTGCACTAATTATCGTGATGCATATGCCCCTAAATCCAACATTTATACAGAGCATTTCCCAGGGAGATGACAAACTCAATGTCAGATAGCTTAACGCTTACAAAACGAGTTAACAAAATGGGAGTCTGAGTCTCCGGGGAAAATGGCTTTTTGCTGCTGTTATGGCTGAGCTTCCTAGCAGAGGAACGTAAATGAAAAGGCACAGCACGCCAGCTCTGAGGCCCGGCCGGGCGGATACTCACGATTCGGGGGTAGGGCACGCGCCCGAAGGAGTAGATCTCCCAGAGCAGAATGCCGTAGCTCCACACGTCAGACTTGGTGGAGAATTTCTGCTCAGGCAGAGAGAGGTCATCTGTATTAGGACTTATGGAGGGAGTAAGTTCTCTCTTACACACACACACACACACACACACACACACACACACAAACACACGTAGGGTAAACATATCCTTATGGGGACCTCTCATTCATTTCAATGGGAAAAATGCTAACGCTAACTATGACAACCTTAACCCCCACCCAGCCTTAACCATAACCATAAGTAACCTAACAAAATACATTTTTAGTTTTTTCATAGCAGTCACTGATTTTTATAAAATAGAACTTTTTAAGGGAAAAAAAACGGATATTTATCACGTTATGAGGACATTATGTCCCCATAAGGATAGGTAAACCCGCTCGCACGCGCACGCACACACACACACACACACACACACACACACACTGAGAAGAAGCATATGACAGACAGACAGACCATATGAAAATATTGAAAATAGGTCAGAGCTGCATCCAGGCGTCACTCAGCTGGGAGCCCACCCCCCCACCCCAAATGCCACGCTTTACATTTGCCCCTCGCACCTTCTCCCTCAGGGCCTCCGGAGCAGTCCACTTGACGGGCAGCTTGGCCGTGTCTTGCATGGAGGACGCCTCCTTGGTCAGGCCGAAGTCGCTGACCTTGGCGATGTTCTCGTCCGACACCAGCACGTTCCGCGCCGCCAGGTCCCGGTGGACGAAGTTGTTGGCCTCCAGGTACTCCATGGCGTCACACACGTCCCTGTCGGGACAGCGGCCCAGCTGAACGAGCAGAGCTAACGAGAAAACCTCCGAACGGGACACATCGGGAGCTGGCAGGAGCTCGGGTCACATGACAGCTAGCATGGAGTCTCATTGGATAAAAGCTCCATGGCAAATAAATACAAACACAACCAGAGCCCTCAACTGACTGCTATGGTTAAAAAAGTCAGATAATTCACCTCAAGTGAATTTAAACATGGATCACATTAATATCAGTTTATAACTGCTCTGAGTTATTAGGTACAACGTATCACAGACACTGTGGAAAGCTGAATACTTCTGGATAATACTTCTGGACAATAAGTTAAATTTTAATCTCTAACCATTAAATCTTTCCCTCTTTGGACTGTGAACAAAGGGTCATAAATATTGACTTTGAAAAAGGAGTACTGGCAATAACCAGTAGAGGGCAGAAAAGACATGAGTTTAGCGGGAGGCTCACAGAGAGAACTTGAGCAGGCAGTCCCTTCCCAGTACCGTCCGACCGCGAGATCGCAGGTAATCGACAAGACTGCCCTGTTGGTAGAGAGACATACTCAGTTCATACACTCCTATCATTGTGGGGACTCTCCATTCATTTCTATGGGCGTAACATTAATCCTAATTTTGACGCTAACCCACACCCAACCCTGCCCTTAACCACAAGTAACCAGACAAAACAGGATAAAAGACTTTTGGCCATTTTAGTTTTTAACTGCACTCACAGATTTTTTTTTATATAATTGAGGTTATCAGAGAACCAGACAAATGGCCCCACAAGGTAAAAAGTAACACGTTTTACTTTATTGTTGGAAACCTGACACACACAAAGTAACAATTACAAAAAGGCATGCATGGTACACACACACACACGCGCACACACACACCTTGGGTATTTCTAAAACATTCTGACAGCACATTTCCATATTGGACTCATCACGTTATTGATGTAAATGTTTTCTCTTCGGCCGTGTTGTGCTGATGGTGGGTGGGGGGAGGCTGACTAGGTCACTGACCTTGGACATGTACTCTGTGACGATAAAGAGAGTCCCCGTCCCCTCCACGATGACACCAAGGAGCTGGACGAGGTTGTTGTGCCGCAGCTGCCTGCAGAGTGACGGATGACAGTCAGACACAAACGCAGGTTCAGTGTCACTCACACGGACAGACAGACGGACAGAGACGAACGGGCCGGTGGGACTGACGTCATGACCGACGCCTCTGCGATGAAGGCCTGTGCGGTGGCGTCGTTGTTGATGCACTTCACTGCCACTTTGGTCCCTCTGTAGTCACCCACCATCACGTCTGTGGAGAGCGCGAGCACAAACTAATACACGGAGCCGGGCTCCCACTGTCGTCTCCACTGGACTTACACTGCTGCCTCCACTGGACTTACACTGCTGTCTCCACTGGACTTACACTGCTGTCTCCACTGGACTTACACTGCTGCCTACAGCAGCATCATGGGTAATTTTCAAATATCCAAACGGCGCCCAACTTGGGCTCCGAGTAAATGTTTGTTATAGAACTACTCAGCCCAGTTTCATCCCATTTTCAACAATACTGCCAACAGGAAACAGCAGCCAGGCACAGCCAGACGTCTGAATGAGTGCTCATACCTGCCGACTCCCCTTTTCCAATGCATTTCAGGAGTTTGAGGTCCTGTCTGCTCAAGGCCCACCCACCTGAAGTGAGGACACAGGAATGAACTTGCTTGGCTAGATAAGAAATGCTTTTATCAAAACTCAGACGAGATGCATGAAGCTGCATTACGCTCAAACCACCAGCAGGGGTCACCGCACAACACAACATGCTCTCAGTGGTGAACCAAAAGGAGTGAAACAATGAGTCTGAGCCTGCAGAAAGCAGCACAAGGGGTGCTCTATCATGTACGCGCCAGAGTGAGGCGCTACAACACCTAATACGGCATGGTCCGCACTGCTCCTGCCAAACAGGCAAAGTAGAGCACATTTGACACTGAGACAATTCCTTGGTGGTATCGAAGGCGATATCATGGACCTCGGGAAGCAGAGCTTGCACCACACCCGTTGGAAAAGATCCAGCTCCTCAAAGCCGCCCCCCCCCACTCACTTCTGAAGAACTCATCCTTAGCTGCCACCGTTCCCTCCATGACTTTGGGGTTGACGAGTCGGGTACAGAGGCCGTCTGCGTCTTGGGTGTAATGCTGTGAAAACAAACACAGTCAGAGCCTGAACTCGTTCTGCAGAGGGGAATTAAAGTCGGGCACTCAAACCCTTTTTAGGGCAGACTACGTGATTAAGGACATCCTCCATCCTGCAGGTGCTAAGGCAGGCCGACCCACGTGTTGTTATTGTGTCTGCAAACTAATGGCCCCTTAATTCAGCCACAGCACCCTTAACCGCAGCAAAGTCAGCCCAGACCATCCCCAGAGGACTAGTTACCTTTAAACATTCTTGTTTGGGTTGGTTTATGGACCATCTTATTTATAAATAAATGCAGAGGCAGTATTTGCAGACTACGTTTCTGAGCGATGCACAAATTATCTATCAGAGGGAAAAAATGGTGTTGAAATAATCAGTCCCTCAGCCAGTCATGTGCAGAATAATTAAAGAAAATTAACAGGCAGTGGTTTTAATTTAAAGATATAAGATGACAGTTTGCACGAGCAGCCCTGAGCAATTACTGCAGTGCGATATTCAAATAATTTCTGTTCCGGAGAAAGGCATCCATTAAAGAAAAAGTGTCAATTTTTATTCAGGCTCTAAGTTTGAAAAGCTGATCGTCAGCAGAACATGGCCGCCCTTTCCTTTCGGGGAACGAAAAGCCTTAAAGCTCAGCACTCTGACAAATTACAGTGACGGCAAGGGAAGAGCACGGGACGAGAGACAGGCCTGCTGTCGCCTGCTCAATCCTGCCGCAGCAGCTTCAGTGTGAAAATCACATGGGGCCAGCAAGTCATTGACAAACCAGGGGAGTGACGGACTGGCACAGACTCGCACAGCAGGCCTCTCGCTCTCTGTGACCAGTGGTCAGTTAACTCCACCGATCAATGGCGTTAATCTCCTGCTGAGGGTCTCCGAGTGCTGGGATCAGGAAGGCCATCAATTGGCTAACCTCACTGGTCACTGCTGTACCTGGGGGGGGGCAGGGGGTTGATAATCCGGGCCACACTGCTAAAGTTTGCACAGTTTAACATTCAAAGCCAGCATAAACGTTCAGAGAGATGAGTCTGCTCTCCACTTGGGCGGCATCGCAGCAATATGGTATATAACTGAATTTTGAAATGTTGGGAGAAATTTGCTGCATTAATCAATCATGGCAGCTTCCCCCCCCCCCCCCCCCCCATAACTGAATTTTGAAATGTTGGGAGAAATTTGCTGCATTAATCAATCATGGCAGCTTCCCCCCCCCCCCCCACATAGCAGGGTACGTCATGGGGGGCCGCTACGCAAACGGCAGTATTGTGTGGCATGCTGAGGTACACTGTCTGGTATGACTGTATGAAAGTTACAAGCCTGGGGTGAATCTCAATACCAAGAACCCAAAGACCGTATCTGTGGTAGAGACCGGTCTTGTTAACTTGCCTTCCAGGAATGAACTTGGGGCGCAATGAATCATGGGATTGGCCTCGTTTGGTGAAGATGCAACCGATGCATCCTTCATATTTGGGGTGGGGGGCAAGAGCACCATCTGAGGATTTTGACCATCCTCTGTACTTCTGTTCTTAGTATTGGAACTGGTCTTCAGTAAAGGAAGATGATGTAAAACAGGAACACAGGAACACAAGTATAGTAAAGTAGGCATATTGGGTGGGGCCCCAAACTATGAGGGGGGGGGGGGGGTTATCTTATGCGGGGGGTGCTAACCTCCACGAGCTGCATGAGGTTGCTGAAGTACTCCTCCTCGTCGATGGACAGCTTGCCGTCGTGGTAGATGATATGGTAGTGCTCCACCTTGCCCTCGCAGCTGACGCACAGCGTGTAATCGCCGGGGAAGTTGGTGCTCTCGCGCACCAGGAAGAGCCCCGTCTCAGGCGGACAGAGCAGCTGCTCTGCCTGGTCACGCGTGATCTTCCCATGGAACCAGCTGTGGGGGGGCACACACATGGAGGGTACGCGCGGATACAGACCCCGGAAGGGGCTTGAGGTGCATTACGATGGAGGATGGATTGGCAACATGAAAAGGGAGATATGGGAACAATCCAGGGGGTCGCATTAAACACTCCCCCCCCCCCCTTAAACCCAGAGTCCTCCAAGCCCCCAGAGATGCAGTAATGAGGTGTAATGGAGGGACACAGAGGCCACCCAGGGCCAGACCCCGCCAGTCCCACACGCTCAACAGGGAGGCGCTCAGTGTAAACAAAGCGTAACCACGGAAACGGCAGGAAGCTGAAACAGGCCACGGGCAGTAAACAGGAAGCCACAAATGAGGAGTGCAGTTTGCTTAAGTGTGGCTTGTGGGGGTCTCTGTTCCTCTATAGAGCCTGGCTGCCCCCTTTCCCCTCCAGCAGAGTGAATCCCCCCCCAGCTGTCAGATGTCCTTTTGAATCCTACAGCTGCAAGACAGCTATAGGCGGCAGAGGGTCAATTGCTGTCGTCCCCCCCCCCCCAAACACGGCCATTGCTGACCGAGACTCAGCCCCTCACACAGCCCCCATTTCAAACCCAGAGACACGTCAGAGGCGGCATGCAGCTGATTGGCCGACTGGGAGCCACTCTGCTTCCACAGGGACGTGATGGTGCGGTTGCCAGGCAACTGATCATATGCAATAGGGCACATGCACTTAACAACCACACACTGGGGCTGTGAGTGACAGAAGAGGGTCCTTCACTCATCACCGGCTTAGAAAGCCAGCTTTCTGTTTAATAATGTCTATTTCTGGGTTTGCAGAGCATAAACCAAGTTACCATTTTGTATCCCTCAAAATACTAAAGATTAAGTCATTCTGTCTTTATTAACAGCTCCTACACTGTAAAAATGTAAATAACCATCATCATCATCATCATCACATACAGAGGTCTCACATCTCCAGGGTTTAGTGTCTCATTCCTGTCCCCGCTGTATGTGTGGAGTTTGCAAATTTTTCCTGTGTCGTGCAGCTACTCTCTTGATACTTCACTGTCATTTTACGTTTCATGTTTGCATTTTTGATTTATCAGAGTCAGACAGGGTCCCTGGGGAAGTTGGGGTTAAGGGTTTCGCTCGAGGGCCCAACAATGTCATGGTTACTCTGCTAGCCACGGTTTTCGAAACTGCAACCTTCTGGACTTGGATGGACACAGGTCCCCAAGCCAGTTAGTTACAAACCACATCAAAAGAATATCAACATGAGGAGGACTGGAGCATTCTTACTCCAGCCGAGCTCATATTTAATGTCAGTAGCCGGTACCCCGAGGTTCATAAAAAGCTAAAAGTCTGGCTTATCAGCATTATTAATACATCCCCAATCAAAGGAAGCACTTTATACTCAGGAAATGACCGTGTGGCGGCCATTTCCCTCCATTCTGTTGATTTGCTGATTTCATGTCATCAGCTGAAGTGTAATGTCTGAACCGTGAGGCTCTTGGATGTGAGCTGCCCAATCAAGATTAATTATGGGCAAAAGTGATAGCCTGGCACGTCTGCCCCGCCCCCCGCCCTTCCTGCTCCTGACAGCTCTACCCATCTGCATGTGGCAGCTCCCCGCTACGTCCCGAGCAGCCCTACAGGGGGCAGGACTTCAGCACATCGCGAGACTGCTGCCCTTGGGGGAGGTGGGGGGGGAGGTGGATGCTTTGTAAACAGCATCAGTAGGTGTTCGGCCCATACGTCCATTATTGCAGCCACTTCAAAAAGGCAGTTTTATATCTGACTCTTTGAGGACGGTATTTAATTATGGAAAATTACCCAGAGATGCTATTGACACCCCTACGTCCCACAAGCTTGTGTATCACGTGACTATCAGTATGCATAAACAGAATCAGACAGAAATATAACCCCCGCCCACCGCCCCCACCCCGCCCACCCACAAACACTTACGGCATGAGGCTGAGTTTGCCCCCAGACTTCACGCCCTGCCGCTTCTGGACATAGTTGGCTGGGATGGTACCCTCACCCCCCACTGGGTTCCTGGCCTTGTACCAGTTGGGGTCCTGGGGGGAATGAGGAGGAGGCAGAGGCGTGAGCCCCTGCTCAGCCAGGAAGCGAGAAAGCAGGGTCCTGAGTAAATACGGCACGACAACCGCGTTGCCTGACATGTTGACGCGCTGCTGCGGAACTCGGTCCATTCGTCCTGCCCTCTGCAATGTCGCGTGGGCGGCTCAGTTATAATAATACTCCCCTTTCTGTGTGTATGTGAGTTTCCTCTGGATGTGACAGTTGCCTACACAGTGTAAGTGAATTAGTGTGTTTATATGCATGCGTTTGTCCTGCGATGGGCTGGCATGCGACGGGCTGGCATGCGACGGGCTGGCATGCGACGGGCTGGTGTCCACGGCCCTGTGCCCTGCGCTTCCTGGGATAGGCTCAGGGTTCACCGCATCCCTACTTCAGCTGCGTTATCAAGGAGGAGCCGGTTACCTTGGTGACGCCAATGATAGTGAGGACGTCTCCCTTGCAGAAGGGCAGGTCCTGCACACTGATGCCCTGGAAGTTGTACTTGGCGACACACTCTGTGCCAGGTGGCCACGATGCCTGCGTGGGGGGAGGGGTGGGTAAGAATGCTGTCGGGGGGGGGGATCTTCAGTGGAACCGGACAAACTGTGTGTAACACAACTGCAATATGGGCTCTCGTATGCTGTGCTCTCAGGGTGTGGAATGGTGTGTTGCCATGGTTCCGCCAGCGCCAGACCGGGACTCGGTGCTCACCTGGACCCCCGACATGCTGAATGGCGTGGTCCAGCAGATCAGCTCTCTCAGGCTTCACAGGGCCGGACCATCAGAGCTGGGAGGGGGGGGGCAAAGAACAGACAAGGGTTCAGTTGAGCCTCCGTCACACCCATCAGGGTCACTCATCTAACACCCCCCCACGCCAACTCGCTCATCTGTGCTTCTGCTGCTATAATCCTGAGGTAAGACACCAACAGCAGTGAGGGGGGGGGGGGGCTTGATATGGAAAGGAGAAGCATAAACCACCAAGGGTGGCAAATTATGCCCCCCCCATGCCCCCACTCGGCACCGGAGCTTCACATCTACACCACATTGAAGGGGAAGCGGATGGTGGCACTGCAGCCCCCTGGTGGATTCCAGGCGCCAGGGCAGGTGCCCCAACTTTGTCACCATGACGGGCATCTGAACAGGCTGGCATGGGGACTGGGGTGAGAGCGGCGCTGCTTTCTGGTCGGGCCGGGCGCCGCCTCCTTTATCGCCCGCCTGCCTCAGCTACCTGCTCACCCCCTTGTCCTTATTTTCTCTCGCTGCCGCTTGTCCCGCTTTTCCCGTTTCCTACTTACCAACTGTGGGCCGGCCCCGGGGCCCGAGATGCGGACATGTGGATGGGGAGCACGGTCCACTGATCTGGAACCAGCGAGTCGGAATCGTCTTTGGCGGTTTAAAGCAGAGCGGCGCAGTGTTACCTCATCGCGGTGACAGAGGTTTAAAAACGGCACGGAAGGATGCACGCATGAGGAGAGGCAGATACAGTAACGGCCGTCTTCTGCGACAGAGAGATACAGCATCGGGGCCACATTTAGACCCCCCCCACTGAGCACGGGAACGAAACTCCCCAAAACTTGTGACAAACCACCACTCATGACAGCCCAACTCATACAAATAGTCAACATTCCACTATGTAACGGCAGATTTTTGTAATCTTCAAACAGAAATTAAGATAAATCATAGAATACATTTTCCCGTCTTGAATGTGACCTTGTAACCAATAAAAGTGAAGACCGATAACTAGCATAACAAACAACTGATATTAAAAAAACCTACAACACCCAGGTTGCACGAGTTATTTACCCCCAAAAAACTAATTCAGGGATGGTATGTGGATCACTGGGCTAAGCCTCTGTGCCTGTGATCGGAAGGTTGCTGGTTTGAGCCCTGGCCGCTCCAGGATGGTCATGTGTGCAAGGCCCTTAATCCCCATTGCACACTTGCTGACCCTGTCCTGTGAGATCCCCCCCAAGCTTAATTAATGGAGAGAAAGATGGGGTAGGTGAAGAGAGAATTTCCCCGGGGAGATTAATGAAGTATCCTATTGTAAAATAGGTCTTTGTATTAGATTAAGTCTCTGTTCACAATCTGTAGGTCTCAGCCTTCTTCAGGTCAACCCACAGGTTCTGGACTTAGGATCGAGGTTTGGTTTCTGCCTGGACCATTCTAATATTTGATTTTCCTTTACGGAAGCAAGTCCTTGGTTGACATAATGATGACTTAAAGCAAACATACACATGTGAAGCTGAAGTTGGTCTTCAGCTTTCAGGCAGCATACAGTACTTGGTATTTGAAGTTCTTTCATCTTTCTTTCCTAGAAGCCTGGTCCCAGCTGAAGATTATCAGCCCCAAAGCCTCATGCAGCCGCCATCAAGCTTCCCAGGAGATACGGCTCCCTTTGGAAGATGAGCTGTCTGGTTTAATGTCAATTATTTGTCCTATTAATTACCCATTTGTTTCCCTTGGTTGTTGGCTGCCAGGTCAAATTACAGAAGGAAAAACTGTCTAATTTCCGGCTTAATGTCACAAAGAGACACCCTTTCAATAAGAGGACGTAGACTTTTTATATCCTCAGCGCAGAACACAAAACAGCTCAGTGAAAGAGGTACAGGGGAAATAACATCATCAAAATAGCACCGGCTGAAACAAAAGTGGCTAAACCTGTTTGTCGTAAATGATTACCTGTTAATAGGCTGGCGTAGGAGGACAAACAAGAGAGAAAGGCCGAGTTCTGCAGTCCCTGTCACCTGCAAACCCCCGATACCACTCTCGTACGAAAACCGGAGACCATAGTCTGACTCTCAGCAGGAAATACATGCCAGCAGCTACGGATTTGTGTGGATGTCGTGTGGTGCTGAGCTGCCAAAAAGAAAGAGAAACAGCCACCCCAAATCCCTGGCTACCAAATTATTCATTTTTCAGTGATTCGCAGAGCTTTCACAATGCCATACAGGAACTAGCAGATGAAAGTTTCACCGAACCATGACTGTCACAGTTGTGCTCATAATGTACCAGGGACCTTTCTGGGCATGTTCTAGGCGATCCGGAAAGCGTGAGAGCCGTGGATGCTAGCGGAACATGCCCTGACAGAGCTGACAGGCACCAAGCCTGGGTTTGCTTTATGATTATTCTGAGTTTAACTCCAGTTTGATCCAGTGGAAAATGCTTACAGTCAGCTTTACAGGTACCAAGAAGCCTATTTTGCAGGTCTGGCTTGAACCAAAGCTAATTATTAAAGATAGCCTTAAAAAGATTATTAGGATATATCACAGCCAAACTCAATAGAGTGGAATCATCTGTGGGCAAATTGTTAAAATACGTCTGTTCTGGATAAAATGGTCCAGAATATTTTAATTTTCCTTTCTAATCTTGGTCATTTCTAGCATATGGCACATGCAAAGAATGTCTGGTATTACTGTAGCCAACATCGCTGTGATCAGCCTTGGTCTTTACCTGCCACTGCCCACGAACCGCAGTCATTTTAACGTCAGCATTTTTCGACTAATTCCGGTGTGCATGTACGATGTCACTCCCATCGTCACCCATCTTTCCAGAGTAACTAAAAGGGATCACTAAAAAACAACACAAATAAAAGCAAAACAACTACAGAGACTCTCATAACAAGGATATAAAAGATGATGATGTAAGGGAACACCACAAAGTAATCAAGGAAGGCACGCTTTTTAACACACTGGCCTGACCAGTGAGCATTATTCAGGGATGACTGTCTTTAAAAAGGGCGGCAGATCAAAACAAGTAGGTGGCACCTGTTCTGGAAACTTCCTCATGACCCAGACAGAACAAACTTTTTCTGCTATGACAAATGGGCACAACATGGAAGAGGCCACAGCCCGATCTAGTGGTGGGGTTGGGGGACGGACACTGAACGGAGATGAGATCAACCCCAAACCCCCCCCCCCTTTCCTGGCGGCCAGCTTCCTGCCCGGCTTCCCCTCAGACAGGAAACCGGGGCACCGACGGTCGGTGCTGAAATTCTGGAATGTGATGTCACTTCCTCAGCCATGTGCTTCTTCAGAGAGGATGTCCTGGACATCCCAGAAGTAATAGCACTGCCCTACTCAGGACCAGGCAGGTGGCCGTTTGTCAACAGGCCGCACGACTAGGACAGCCGCATTTAATAGCACGCCACACTGGCCTGTGTCTCACTGCATCTGTCTATATCTGTGTGTGTATTGAGGCACGCAGGAATGGCAGTTATTCTGTGCGCCTCTGTTCCTGGAATCTCCACACCCTGCTAGATAATTAAAAGGCGCAGGAAGTAAACACGTTGATTAGAAAGGGCGCAAGAGTGAACACCGCTACATGCAGGGCACTGCGCCAGCACACTGCACTGCTGCCGTCTTCCATTAGAGGGCCACACGCCGGCGACCTGCATAGGCCACTAAGGATAAGCCCCACCCACAAATCTCACCAGAGACACGCCCCCATCCTCACTGCCAGCGTGCAGTGAATCTGCATGCTGAGCACGCTGGCCAGTGCTAGCATTTATCATGTTTATTTTGAGGTCAACAATCATTTATATTACAAGTTCACTGCTCTAAGATACTGGTAGTTCTACTGGCAGTATGCAAGAAAAGCCAAGTCCAATGTAAGACGTTTCGCTAGGACCTATGGGATGCTGTATGTATGCTGCATGGGGTACAAACTGCATTTCTAAGGCGGGGATTTAATTTAATGTTTGTGCAGCTGTGTTTGGCCCCCAGAATTATCTTGCACTTGTTTCTGGCCAATCAGCCTGGCAGCATCCAAACTGGCTCCCTGGCAGCTGCATGCCCGCGAGGTATGTTATCTGTCCCACTCATACATCACAGTGTCTGTCACATAAATAAGTGCTTCAAAGAGCAACGTCCAGGAGTGACTGACCCTCTGCGGCTGCCGAGGGCTGCATGCCCAGGATCAGAAGGAAGCAGGAAACTGGTTTCCCTTAGAGCCCAAATGGCGTAACGCAATGTGCAGCAAGATAAGGGAGGGGGCTGATCTCACGCTTCTGGGAATGTCAGACTCCGCTAGATTAAATCAAGGCAGATTAGCAGAGCTGGGAGTCACCCAGTAACAGGTTAACACAGGTACGAGTACCAGGGTGCAGGAAAGGAATGAATTATATGAACAAGATATCGAAACATAACATGACCCAGAAAATCATTACAACAACAATCATAATAATGTTATATATGAGTGGGAACAGAAATGACTGGATGATGACATGCTAACAGGCATCATTAGCCAATGAGAATTAATGTCACTGAAGTGGCCCTATCAGCTTCACATACACGACTCAGAGGCGGGACTCCGCAGGGTGGTCGGGGCTCCCAGGCAGAGCCGGCTGCCGCTATCAGGGCCACGCTGTCCCGCTTTAACGCACCGTTTGACGCCCGGCCGCCCTGCTGAGGGAAATAAGGCTTTAAAAGCTGACAGCGGACAGCAGATCTCTGCCAGGAATAACCCAATGGGTGAGCGATGGACGACCGGATTGGCTGACAGGAAATGAAAATGCCATCCATAGTACCCTATCATTAACGGGAAGGTCTAGGAAGGGGCTGCCTGTTTAGCATCTGACTGAGACAATTCACCGAGATTACCCCAGGAGGGAGGAGCAGAGCGGGAGGGCGGTGAGGTCAGCGCCATGGCCGGGGGAGGGGCAGGCTGCCTGTTCCCCTGACACACCCATGTCCTCCCACACACCCCCACTCCGGTTCAGCCGGATCCCGAATTAACCAGTCGCTGCAGAACCTGGTCACAAAGCGATCATTAGCAACGCTGAGTCTACTTAGCTTATCGCACACACGCACACCCCCGTACGCACGTCCGCGCCTCCTCCAGACCTAATTACTCCTCGAGTCTGAGAAAGGAGCCCCGCTTCCCAGAGGCGGAGCCAGCAGCCCAGGCGTCTGCCCGACCCCGTTACGAGGCTCATCTGCCGGAGAAGGTGCAGCGAGATTTACTCTCGAATCCCACGTTTCACAGAAGACATCTTCCAGGCAAAGTTGCCTATGTGCAAAAGCTACAGCAGCTCCGTTCCTCGCCTATCCGGCTTACATTTTCTAAATCCCTTTATTGTTAACGATGTCTCTCTGCTGGCATAGAAACAGGCGGTCTGACCCACAAAGAAAAAACAACATATGAAAACCTCTCCTCCCTAAAATTAGCGCACAGTGCAGAGCGGAGCTCTCCTCAAACTCGTTAGCTGTCGGTCGCTCGGGCTGATAAGCTCGCAACTTGGCAGCTGCCTGAAAACAGGGGACATTTTTCTTTCGACCGTCACCAGAGGACAGCGAGGTGCCAACCGAGGCAACTGCCCAAAGGTCGTCAATGATGTGCTGAGTCACGGAAGTGATTCCAACAATCTCATTACTCAGTCAGAATTGCAGAATTTTAAACAAAATCAATGGAAGTTTCCACAAATTATGAAATTCCATTTGTAAATTCCGAATCTGTCTGGATTCTGTCAGAAGATGGGAAGTGCAGGACTATTTTCCAGTCACTGCAGGCCTACGACCAGGAGTCCGAGTAGTGTTTCAGACAGGAACACAGGGAGTCCTCCTTCCTCCAGCCATTAGGTGAAGTGGTTGAACAAGGGAGTTATATTTAGGTCTATTCAGCGAAATGGGGGGGGGGGGCATGCACAAGGCCAGGGGGGCCACCATGGTTCCTGAGCAGATAGTCTGTCAAAGGCTGGGTCATATGGTCTCCAACACCCACAGGAAAGACGGTGGCTTCTGCACCGGTGGCATAGCGTTACTAGGACTTCAGCCGAACCAAGAAGCGTAATGCCAACCCACAGCAGACTGAGATTAGCAGCAAATGGCTACTCTGCACCCTGGTGAAGATCTGAGGAGGTGTAATTACTGGGTCCCCAATACTACTTTTTTGGGTCTAACCGATTCCTCCTCCCAGAACAGCTGGTACAGAACCTTAAGTCTTACAATCCAATGGGTCCTGAGATCCCACGGAGCAGATCTGACGAGGTGGATTCTAACCCTGACTGGGCAGTGACATCCTGCCACATGCACTGGGCCAAGGCTGCGGTTCTGGGGCTGGAGGCGTCCGACAGCCTTGCTGGGAAGCTGACCGCAGGCGTTAGCCAATTCCGGCACTGTTCCTTGGTAATGGAAGTCAAGTGATGAAATTACGCTCTGTAGGTCAGCCCACAATAACCAGAAGGCTAAAAACAGACAGGGGAAACTGCAGCCCTTTCTGTTTTTGTTTGGGGGGGGGGGGGCAGCCATGTGACCAGGAGCAGCTGGGTTGCTGATTCAGACAGATGGGCTCCCTGATGACTCACAGTGTGCAATATGAACGGCAACCAGAGTTTCTGGTTCCCCTAGAAATGACAAGACTCGCCTCCTATCGTACGAGATGCGTGCAGGCAGGCCGGGGCAGCACAAGGAGGGATGCAGCGTGATAGAGCTAGACCCAGTGAGGGATGCAGCGTGATAGACCTAGACCCAGTGAGGGATGCAGCGTGATAGACCTAAACCCAGTGAGGGATGCAGCGTGATAGACCTAGACCCAGTGAGGGATGCAGCGTGATAGACCTAGACCCAGTGCCAGAAACCGGCCTGCTGTTCACGTCCTGAATTAGTACAATGGGTTAGGCGGAAAATGCGAGCTTATCGTCGTGCCGTATTCGATGAGCACAGAAAAGTCACACGCGAGGCAGCTTCTGTTAACATTGCTGCACGTAGCCATTTGTTAACAAAGTCATCTGACAATAGGGGCCCACGCAGAGATTGTTCCAGATCTGTGTTATCACTAAAAGTCCATCTGTTTTGTTCACAGTGTCACAGCCAAGCTGGTGATGCGCCACGCTGCCACACTGTGTCCCATTAGCCGAGTACAGGCAGGTCACTGGGAAAGGCCCATCTCTGTGCGTCTGTGACTGAGGTCAGCCAATCAGCTGCTCTCTGTACATCTAATTCCTCCAGTCAGAGGTATAAAAGCAGACCGAGGTCGAGGCGGGGGGCTAGATGTAGTAAGCTTGTGTACGCTTATTTTTTTTTTCCAAAACAACAGGAAAAGTACTCACTGGCAAGATGCATGACATGCATCCTGGTTTGAAAGTGTCAACCAATGAAAAGCCTCAAAAAAAAAAAAACCGCAAAATTTATCATTTGGCCACAAAGCTCCGGAGAAACAGGAAAGAAAAGGGGAAAAAATGAACTCTGACCACAGGAGAAATCCCCAGGGCAGAGTGACCAGTGTTTCCATGACAGCAGCTACTCAAGGCCAGTCACCCCCCCCCACCCCCCAGCATCTATTAGCGAGACAGCAGCTAGACAGAAATTAAGGGACTGAACGCATCAGGACAAAAATCACACCCTGAAAATGTACAGTATTGTAATATCCCACAAACATTTAAGCCTGAATAGGAATCTGCACACAACCTGCATTAAAAATGCCCTAAATTAAGAAATGTTATTTTAATTCTTTTCCTGCAGATAAACACCTTTCGCTAAACATTTTTTTCTGCTTTATGTTCATTTCAAACTCTGTAGCGGTTTCCCATAAACGAAAAAGTATTATTAATAAACACAGCTGTTAAGAAGAAACCTTTTAACCGTTAGCTGACAATCTGAGTGTGGAACTGAAAATCAAAACTTGCACAACCATCTGAAAGATACTGAGGCCTTTGTAAGAGCAGAACGCTTCTGTGATGTTGGATTGCTGTCCCCAGCAGGAAGTGACCTCACGGTGACACAGTTGCCCCGAAACTGATCGGGCCAGAAAAACCACTCAAGCCGCAGGATTCTCACCATCCCCAGACTGGCTTCCGGATCTGGGATCCCCGTCCTCACCGGTGTCTGTGTGAGACGGCAGAGTGTCCTCCGTGACGGCGAGGACCACAATGACATCCACAATCACACCCACCTCTGCATTCTTTTATTTTTTATTTTTTTTAAAGTCTCTTCCTCTCTTTCTCAGCCCACACAGCTGCACTGCCATTTCCCGTTTTTCCCCAAGTCAAAGCTCTGACGGGGCCCCCCAACGGTCACGACCTATGGTCTCTGTCACCTGCAATGCCCCCTCCAATGCGTTTCATTACTGTCCTTAAAAGGGCAGGGAAACTTTCACGCATAATCCACCTCTTTCAGGGTGCAGGCCCAGAGGTGTCCTGCACGCAAGCCGTGCTACACCTCCCCAGGACCTGCTCCCGCCCCTTGTTACCGGCCAATGAGAGACCGTCTGGCGACGTTCATTGCCACTTCAGCGGTGACCGCCAGAAGCACCTCCCTGCATATCCCAGCAACCTAATTTCAGCATTCCGGGTCAAATCAGGTGTTGTTATCATCCCGTCTACAGGACGATTACCCTAATTACACTGCCGGAATCCCGCATTCTTACCTTGCTTATGACTTTCAGCTGCATCGGTCAGAGTTCAGTCCAAAATGGCAGATGATCTCTGTGTTTGATATGGAGCTGTGATTTCCTTAGTGTGTGGAGGAGGGAACCCTGACTGAATTCCAGGGTGGGGAGACTTGACACCCAACACAGGACAGGTTCCTGATGAGGGAGGTGATGTACCCACCATCTCAAGTTCCTTCACACCATTCACTGTGCGAATGGTCCCACTTGGATCACGGGCAGTCATACCCCACTTAATTAAACTGAGACAGGGGGGTACCTTATATCAAATGCCACAAAATTTGCTAGGAACTGAAACTTCAGAAACCCTCAGTTTCTTTAAATAGTGTGTTTCAGTACATCGCTTGCCAAGAAAATTGTCAGCAGTTTATAAACCGTTCCTGCTAAACGAAAGCTGGCTATTGCGGCATTTGTTGAACTCAAGCCAAGCCAATATATTACTCCATAAAGAGTATTTTTATATATATTCAATTGCCTTGCTGTCGTTTTGCGTAGCAGGGAGTACGTACTTCCCAACTGGTAGAGCAGCCACGCTACGTTTGCTCCTTTCCCACAGGCGGCTCATATATTTTAAATGATATTTGTTAGTCTTGCAAACATGCTTTAGGAATACAGTAGTACCTTGCGACAAGAACTTAATTCGTTCCAGAAGGCTGGTCAATTTGCGATTTGGTCGAGGTCCAAGTCGAATTTCCCCGTAAGAAATAATGTAAATGAATTTAATGTTTTCCAGAACCTCAACTGATTGCCTATTTAAACGTATCCACTTAACTAATGATAAGAAGCGTTAACAACATAAAACTAATACACACATGGAAAAGCAATAAACATGAAATAAACGAGAGTTTATGAGCACTTTACCTGTACTGATGTGAGCTGATGGCATACTGGAAGTGGCAGGTGGAGAGAAGGAGGGATGGAGGGGTTATTGTTTGGAAGGGGAGACGTGTCTCGATCTGTGCAAGTTTTAACAGGTCTGGTTCCGAGTTCTCGGTCGAGCTGCGGCTAGATTTTTCTCGACCGACCAGTTGGAACTCCGATATGTTAGAGCAGATCGCGTCCCGACCCATACGAGTTTTAGCAGGAATGGTCGAGTTCCTAGATCTAGGTCGAAGTACAAGTCGACAAAAAACAACAACAGACCTGTTCGATGTCCGAGTTGGTCGAGTTCAAAGGTTCTAACGTATGGGGAAACTTCCCTTTCCCAGTGCAGCCAGATCAGTGACCAAAAGTCTACACATCTGGGCGCTTTAATGGCAGGGATCGACTAAAGCATATGTTCAGATTTCACGTTTACCACACCTCTCAAAACCATGACAGCAACGAGCAAAGTCACCCTGTCAAGCCGAACGGGCAAAATTAAAAGTTTAAATGAATGACGTATGCGCAAAAATTTGCGCAAGAGGCGCACGAGGGAGGGAATGAAGTTCATGAACTTGCATTTACAACAGCTGCACAGCATGCAAACCCCGTGCACTTATCCACCAGTGGTGCACAGTAAACAACAATTATTTTATATAGACGGGATATTAATGAGTGTGCATTTGAGCTGTCATCATACCTCGTCCCACTATGCACAATCCTTTCCGCTGCTGAAAAGCGTCTGAAGGGGATTAAATGCTGCAGGGAGTCCAGCTTTCGCAGGGCGTCCGCAGGGTTTCCATCAGCACGACGATCTTGGGCAGTAACACAACGGCGTGCAACAGCAGCAAAACGGATTTTCAGGTCGCAGCAAAGTATGTAACTACTAATCTCACTACAGCTATGTAAATCAGCAGGTTAAAGGCGCAGATGCATCTTAATACGACTTGAAGAGATATGCTGCACAGTGCCGCGGGCGCAGAGCGAAGTGTTCGCCTTTGTCAGCCGGACTTTGTATCGCAATGCTCCGAATCGGTATTAGGTGCTTTTGCTGAAATCATTTGCTGGAAGAACAATAAATAAATTTTAAAAACAGGACAAGAGATTTAGTTGCCGCTACACTACGAATCACACCGTCCAAGCACAAGCGTCGAGCCGATCTAATATCCAGAGATTTTTAACAGAGGTATGAAAATAAGAGCAGCCACGATACTAGTACTGGTCCGTCCGAGGAACACCAGCTCGCGGCCTCCAAGAGGAAATTCCGCCCCCCCCATTCGCCTGGCTGCACTCCGCACGCATGCGCTCTGTTCTCCTATGGAAAAACCTGGCGTATGTGCGCCCCCCTCTGGAAAACAGAGCATCAGAATCTCACCCGAATTGACACTTCGATGACATGTCTCCCGCAAATTGTCAGTTAGTAGCACAGCATTAACACCGGGAAGCGGCCTTCTGAACCCTGTCTCTGTGAGAGGATCCAGGCAGGAGAATGTGGCTTATTAATAACCTGAAAACTGACCTTTGTTGTCAAACGCACAGGGATAGTTTAATCATTATTATTAGTAGTAGTCTGCCAGCCCTGATCTAGGTAAAATGTCCGGATCAAAGGGCTTTACTTAAAGGATAGACAGACACTTTCCTCACTGATGCTGGAGATGGTCTTAATGCTAATTCTGTGTGTGTCCTTGCAATTTGGACCTTGTGCTTCTTTAAAAAACCATTTTCATTGTCTTCATTGTCTTTATTTTGTCAACTGCAACTTACAGTTCAGCCTCAGTATGTGTATGTTGAAAAACACCATTTGTTTCTCTCAGGGTCGAGGTCAGTGGCGGCAGGGAACACAGTATGACAAACCTGGGCTTACAGGCTACAAGTTATTTTTTAAAAACATGCTAGTACTCAGTGCCCTATCTATCAGGGAGACCAGTTAAAAGGGAAACCAACACGTACATAGTCTTCGAGATCAGGACACAACTGTGGGATAAACAGGAAAACAGTTTGTGGGTAGAGGGAAGGTTCATACCGAATATCCATCCATCCATCCATCCCACCATCGATCTTCATGGTCGGGGGTCACCGGAGGAAAGCATGGAGCCTACCCCAGGAAGCGGGGGTACGCCCTGGACAGGATGCTAGTCCATCACTAATAAACACACAATCATTCACTATGGACTAAATAGATAATTAAATTAGGCGTTTGGTCTGTGGGTGAAAGCACACATGAAAAGGACATGAACACACATACACACACAAGCAGGACTCGAACCCCCAACCCTGGAGGTGAGAGGGAGTGCTACCCACTGAGCATGATATTTTAAAAAGGTGCAAGTGTTTCTCCAGCAAATATTTCACTTTATTTTTCAGTCTTAAATTACAACTCAACATAGCAGAACAAAGGGTCAGTCAAGTTCAATAACAATTTATCTCAACGTATACAAATGGCATCAACTCCACATATAACCAGTAATAAGGCTGGGAAGAGGCCAAAATATATAAAAAAATAAAATAGAGCTCATGGGGGTGCAGTGAATGAACAACAGAGACGCAGAGTTGCTGAGGAAGAGTGGCTCACAAGCAAGAAGAGATCAGCCAACAGAAAGGAAGGCAGATATCCAGACACGACAGGTCATCATCCGCAGGCTCTGCAAACTGCTCCCGGAGATGGAGGAATGCAGGGCCTCACAAACTCAGCTCTTCTGAAAGAAAACTTAGAGAGACCTGGGGCGCGGTACCTGGGGCGCGGTACCTGGGGCGCGGTGTGACGCCGCTCTCATCCCAGGCAACAGTTTGAAGTCATACTCCCTTACAGTGGTTTTGCTGGCCCTGCCCCTCCCCGCAACTGGAACAGCTCACTTGGGGGTGGGCTCAGACACAGGAGACAGACTTCTGGGGGGGAAAAAAAAACTCGGAACCTTTGGTTCGCCTCGATTCCATGCAGACCTCGCTGATCATATGCACGCTTTTAGCAACAAATGGCTATGGAAGCTAAGACAGATGGAAGTTACAGCTAATGTCTAGCATCTGTCAGCAGAAGAAGCTAAAGACTTAGCAGCATTAAGTCTGTTCCCTAGTAATGCTTTAAGTACGAACTGTGCTCCTCCAGGGGAATGTAACGCGACAGCACTGTTACTACCTAACGATAAAGAAACAGAGCAGGGTTTCCCAATCCGGTCCTCGGGGACCAACAGCCGCTTCATGTTTTTGCTCCCTCCCAAAAACGTGGACTGTTTGTGGTTCCCCGAGGACCGGACTGGGAAACACTGCCACAGAGTATATGGCCCATTTTTGGGTGGCCGGAACAGCAGAGACCCAAACTGTCCGTGTGTGTTTTTACCTTATTATTTACCCTGATTCAAATAATGGTCCCTGGTCACCTTTGAGTCTTATGCTATTTAATGCTACATAACAGTAGAACGTTTCACGAAACAGCATCACGCATCTGCGCACGCTTGGCTGCTACAGACAGTCACATGACGGGGACATAAAGAATATGCAGTGCAAAACAGACCTGCTTGCTCTATGGCAACGCGAGTCACAAATGCACATATAAATCTATGAAGTCATCATCAGCATCATGCCACAGCTGTGTCAGATTAACGGAAGACTCTTGTCACTGCTTTGCTGGACTGACGTCAAAAACAGCATAGAGAACACAAACCAGGCAGCCAGTGCACAGCTGTTCCAGCTGCTTAAAACCAATGTAAACTTTGCAGTCTCTCTTCAGTCTTTCTAAACTTTCAACAACCAGAAATGCAGAGGATTTGCACAAAAAGAAAAAAAAACTATTCTTAATCATTTTTCATACATTTGTAACAGAAACAATATCAAGAAACAAGATCTTTGGAACCTACATTAAATAATAAGAATGTCAGTAGAGCACAGTGAGACACGAATGGGCAGCTACAGTCGGAGCTGTCCTGCGGATTTCGCCAATCAAACCCGAGGCAAACACACTCGGACAGGTCCCTGTGGGCTGCACGTTGGCCAATTCCTGCTATAATGTTAACCATTTAATCAACAGCATTTTAAACATATTTCACCATAAAGCATACCACACACCTGAAGAGCAACTATGTTGCCACGTTTTCACCTTAAAAACATTTCAGTGAGAAAGGCATCTGAATAAATGTACAGATAATGTACTGGGACCAGTAACACGGAAGGAAATTGCTGGAAAATCAACCAGCAAACTGGGGGGTCACAGTATGCCAACCCTAGACTTAAGGGTTAAAGACAAAAAAAAAAACTGCAAAGTCTGAAGTCCACCGATCCATGGATGGTGGGAAGGTTCAGATCCACAAGGCCGAGTCGACACCAGAACCTTCCGGAGAGTTCAGGACCATGTTCTGTGCGATTAAGTGGAGGTGATTCAAACCCAAAGTCTGTATACGGAAAGGCTGGTGTTCACATGTCACAAGTGCAGTTCCACAAACGCACAGCTTCCCTATCAGGTCACAGCTGGACAAACAGCTCACATACTACCAGAATTTAAAGGGACAGTACACTTGTACATGTATAGGAAGATATCTGATTTAAACCCCCCTTTTCTTCAGATGCAGCTGTTTAATGCAGAAGTGAATGTGGTTAGATTGGGTAGAGGAGCAGAGACAGATGCGGGAAATAAATAACTGATGAGGACGGAGCGGAAGGAACATCTGTGCTGAGAACAGCCCAGCGACACGTCTCTCTGCATGCAGACATTCCAAGGCTATCGAACACACGAATGCTGATAATACGTCCCCATCACTGGGGAATTCACACTTCTGGTGGGCTTTGTTGGTTGTTTCTCCTGTGACATGTATGACCTGTATAACATTCTCTGGCAGTCTCTCAGTCCCCATAAGACTCATGGTTAGATTCTTAGTCTAAGAAATGTAGGTTTTGCCACCTTCTCATGAAGAAACATGGATGTGTGAGTAACTCCCAACGCTGGCAAGAAGAATCCGAAAGCATATTCCTCCAGACGGCCCACGCTGCCCGGCAGTGTGTAACAAGAAAACAAGACCAAAAAGCATTAATAATAAACCAGTCAAGCGCATCTCAGAACCATAAGATTCCTGCACTGGGCAACTGTCAGGCAAGCTGTAAACACGTTTGGCTGAGGGTGTGATGCTTGTTTTGTGACGGAGAGAGACAGTCTGACTAAATAAAAAAGGAGCTTCATTCACGAGGGCGTTTCTCCTCAGACTGTCCATCCTTAAGCAGGAGACGAACAGCAGAAGACTGTCACTGTGCCTTTTATCTCTCCCAAACAGCAGCTCTCCATCTTCCCGGGGGGAGGGGGGGCAGGTCACATCACAGTCATTCCTCCCCCCAGAAACAGGCACGTTCAGATGTAATCTCCACCAGGGCCTGTCCCAGGCCCACGGCACCCCCGCCTGGCCCCCCCCCACCCCCACCTATGCCGGGTGAAGGGGGATAACGAATTTGCAGCCAAAGGGCGAGCGGTATGTGATGCCCACCTCGGGGAACACCTGGCGTGGCAGCCCGATGTCACACAGGTAGACGCGTCCGGCACTTTCCGCCAGAGGCAACGGCAGCCCCAGGGAGAGCGACCACTTGGCCTCCACGGCCTGCTCCCGGCCGCTCACAGGCGGGTCGATGCTCAGCACAGGGGCCCGGTTCTGGTTGGCCCAGTCGGCCGCAGCCCGGTACCAGGGCTGTTCCCTCAGGAAGGCATTCTCGTGGCAGTCCAGGCAATTGATGACCAGGTCCACGGGGCCGTCGGGAAGGTCTGCCAAGAGAGGAAAGTGAGCCGTGCAGAAATGCAGAGTTCCAGTAGAGGGCGACATTGCATTAGACTTCAGAGTGCAGGCATAGTGATGGGAGAAATGTGGCTTTCTAACAATGGGAGGGTATATTTGCAGAGCCAATCAGGTGAGCCTGTGATTGACAGCATAATAATCACACCCACCTCATTTCTCCCTTCATTAGGCAGCAGCCCTATTATTCCCAGCGAGATTGATTGTAGCTCAAATCTGAAAAAGGGGACCCACAGGCCAAACCGCCCGACCCACCTCTCACGCCCGACACCTGCTGCCCACCCGTCTTGCCAAAGAGCGTCAGCTCCACCGTGACGGCCTCCAGCATCTTGACGAAGTTGGGCAGGAAGAGCACCACCTCCACGCCGTGGTTGGCCAGGTGGCGGCCACAGCTGATTCCCTGGGCGCCCTGCACGTGGGGTCCGCAGAGCAGCACCACTGTGGGGCGCTGGTGCACGTTCTTGGGGGTCAGTCTGTGGAGGGGAGACGCCCACATTTCTGGCTCATATCCATATCAAGCCCCTGGACACATGCCTCTGCGCAGCATATACCGACTTGCGGCTGCGCCTTCTGTGAGCAGGCATGCCAATAACTGTGAGGGCTGGATTCCTGCCCATTCTAGGGAATTTGATTTAATCTTCACCTGACACAAAGCTCAAAGAACAGGTGAGCTGACCAACTAATCAATTACATCAGTAAATCAGGAAAGACACTCTTGGGAGCTCTGGGCGTAAAGACAGAGCCTCTGGTCTGGGCCTTCATGCTCTCAGGGGCTGCGTTTCTGAACGGCAAGCCACCTCACAGTGTGCTTCAGACACTAATGGAAAGTCCTAGCTAGGGTTGCTATAGCGGATCTATAGTCAAACACGGCTCTACAGAGCATGTAGAGAGCAGCAGCTGATACCCTGAATCCTGGGGCACCTCCCCACTTATGCAGACGCTCAAGCATGATGACAAAAATCAGTGACCGGAAGATCTAACAGAGGGCACTTCTGCATGATGTCACAGAAAATCCAAGAGGACAGCAGAGTACAGAGGCCCCCTAGTGCCAAGGCTGGGAATTACTGTATACCAATCGTCCTCCCATCCTGACTCACCTGTTGGGCCCGCCGAGGAGCGTCAGCGCCATTTGGCTGGCACACACCCCGGTCATCTCCAGCCGCCGCTCCAGCGACAGTCCCAGCCTCTCCGCCTCGGCCAGCAGGCGCTTGTGGAGCTCATAGGGGATGCTGGGCACCACCAGGCCCGAGTCTGAGAGAACAGGGAGGAGACGACACAGGGATCAGCCTGGTGAAAGGGGGGCACCATGGCTAAGGCAGCACCCTCAGAGCTGATTGGTTCTAGTTAGGAGAACACACCCTTTTGCATTTACTTTTAAAGGGACAGTTCACCCCAAAATCGAAAAACACATTTCAGATATGTTGTAGGGCGATTTATTCATCGATAGTGTCAGTTGTGGTGAGAGCTGCCTAGTTTAGATAAATACTGGCCACAGAAATAGCAGTCTTCTAATAATGGGACTAAATGGCACTTTCTGTGGTAATTCACGTAGCAAAAAAAAAACACATTTGAAAAGCTAATCCGCAGACCTTGCAGCGAGCAGTTTAATGTAGGAACTAAATTCTTTCTACTGAACTCCACACACCAACTGCATCAATGCGCAGGAGCGAGCGCCGGGCCGCTTGTGACATGACCTAATGTAAACATCCATGGGCTCTAATGTTAGGTAGCTCAGTGGTGCTAGCATTAGCAATTAGCATCAGCTACCAACACTAACAAATGGCAACAATACTGTCTTAGTTCATAGTAATTATAGCTCATCTATACTGTTAGCTCACCTAGCTCAATTGAGAAGGCAGAGTCAGCCAGTCCCTGAACTAATTGGGGGTTAAAAGCCTTGATCAAGGGGCTCAATGGTGAAATCACTCTGCAGACCCTGAGGTTTGAGCCGGTGACCTTCCAATCACTGACACGGTGTCCGCTGACCTACACACCGGCCCTTGGATTTATACCCAGTCAAGCAAAACCATTCAAGAGCTCAGGGCCAACAGACAGGGAGCCAGAATTAAGACAGCGACTGAGGGAAGCCTGGCCTGCTATCCACCCGTTTCTCAGGATGTGCAATGGTACGTGTCGCTTTCAAAGCAAGAGCAAAATCACATGCAATCGGCTCCGGTGAACATCACCGACCGGGAATCGATCGGGCCACAACAGAAGGCAAAGACGCCGGCCTCGACGCCACGGCCATAAACGCTGAATCAGATCGGGAGGAATGCGTAGTACAATCAACAATTTCTAAAAGGACGGGGTGTATCAAGAACAAGCATATAAACAGATCCTGCTTGCTCTCTCTTTTCTAGGAATGACGAGGACATTCCAGCAGTGTGTGTGTGTGTGAGTGACTGTGTGTGAGTGTGTGTAAGCCGTTGACTAACCCTAAGCACGCAAGTGCCCCATTCCCTTGAGGAATACTTCCTCACGCGAGCTGCCCCCCCCCCCCGTCATCCATTACTCTCCACTCCCTTCCTCTCACTTGGCAGCCATTCCCACAGCCTCCCTCCCCCCATTACAAGCGAGGGCGTGAGGTCATACGAGTTTAGCCAGCTCGTAATGCATATCCAATTAATGCCTGAATAAATCGCCGGAGACCACCCATGACTGGACGAGGCAGCACCTCGTCGGAGTGGGCGGGTCTGAGAGCTGAGCCAATCACGAGGGGGGCCAGCGGCGGGGAAAGCTTAAGATCCTTTAGCTGATGGAGATCAGGGGGGAATAGTGAAACTTGCCCCCGGTCGAAGTTCATATTATGTCCTACTTGTGCTGGGTTGGTCTGTGCGATGCAGCTGCCTAACCACGTGAACACACACGCACGCACACACACACACACACACACACATACAAGCACGCATCCACACACACATCACCAGTATCCATCAGCTGCAAAGAGTCAGACAAACCCTGTTGCTCAGGATTAAGAGAACTGAGCAGAGATATGCTCACACCAGCCCTGCACTGTCACCGTGAGGTGGCATGATTGCTACCTCCTTTTTGATTGCAGCTTTAGATGCGTTGAGAACGCCTCCCTCGGCGGGTGTGCGCAGCCTCACACACTCACACACGCACACACGCCCACTCACAGCACTGCACACACGCAACGCTCAACCTGCTCAACTGGGTCTCTGGGGCAGGAGCTCTAAAATAAACTGAGCTGGAAGCGATTCTTCATGCATGATCACAAGGCGGAGCTGAAACTAATGTGCTCCATGGGGGGGCAGGGGGTGGGTGTCTGGAACTAGGCCACGTCTAATTATGCTTGGCACAAAAAGCACAATGGTGCACTTTCGCACACACACCTCTGATTGTGATGCCACTAAAAACACACACAAAAAGCCCCCCCAGCTCATTCACAGAGGGACCCATTTAAAGGCGGGAAGGCAATCAGTGCTGTAGGGTACCGCCGACGGGCAAGACCCCGCGGTCAGCACTGTGGCACCGAACGCGCCGAGGCCGCCTGCCAGCCGGGGGGGGGGGGGGGGAGAGGGTGTCCGAGGGGCCCAGCCGGCATGCATTAAGCGGGGGGATTTAAGGCCTCAGAGGACCCACAATTAAAAGCACAATGGATGATGACCTCGGTCGAACGCCGGCGTTTTACATTTCGTACAAGCGTGCAGACTCCCTCAACCTAAAAGCTAATTTAACCGTTTACAGTGACAAGGGCAATGGGTCACTGGCCTCCAGTTCTTCCAGTTTTTGACGTGCAGTTTATGTAAAGCCAGCTTTTAGGGAACCTGCAAATTACAGGGCTGGGGTCTAAGGGCCACGTGGGGGGCGGGGGGCATCTGGGCACATGCACACGCCCTCCATTGCCATTTCTGTCAGTGCCGTGCCATGCTGTCGTCCTTCCATGCCTCAACACATCCCATAATGAAGTGCTTCAAAAAAAACAAAAAACAAACAAAAAGCCTGCAGGAGGCTTACGAACGCCATCTTCCCACAATGTCTTAAAAGTAATGGGAAGAAAGGCGGGGGGGATATTGACCTTAACTACCCAACGTCCCATGAGACACTGCCAGTGACCCACAGACGACTCTTCAGAGCAAATTACGCTTTGCTTCTGATACTATTCTGATAATAGGAGATCAGATCTCAGCTTGTGGAGCAAAAGTTCTCCCAGGTCGCACCTGGGACTCACATGCCCCACCAAACATCTCAGCCTCCTACTGCAACGTGGCATTTAAAAGCACGAACATTGCAGTCAAAATGGCTGACAAACAGCCTAATGGCAGTGATGGGGTTTGCTAGGGGCCCTGCAGGAGTCCAGCACTTCCAAAGCTGGAGAGATAACGACTCCTGCAGACCTGGAGTCCCCCACAGCAGGTGGGGACGTGGCCAGACTCCTTCGCAAAAAACAAAACAAGCATCAACTAAATGATCTGTCCCACTCCTCCCTTACTGCTTAAACCGGGAGCTAAAACAAGGGCTCCCTGCTGTAACATGACGGCCCCCCCGGGTGCAAGCAGGGTGCTTTGCGCTGGGGCGACACCAGGGGGAGCCAGGACGCCCAGGTGTCACTCCAGCTGGTTGCACAGCTGCATGACATACACATCCCAAGGCATCTGGGCTGCTGACAAAATAGGGCTGTTTTTATAGACTGAGATCCAATTACAAGCCTGTTTACCGCCAACAGTCACTACCGGCTATTAACATGATAAATGTGGTATTTGATTTCTTATTGGTAATTTATAAAGAATAAGTCAGAGCTGTGCAGAGTTAACTTGGTGCCGGGGGCAGATGGGTTGGGTGGGGTGGGGGGGGGGGGGGGGTCGTACCGGTACAGTACTCCTTGCCCCCAGGATGGGGCACAGCGATCTGGCGGTACACAACAGGAACGCCCTCCAGGATGTTCTCGTCGTGGCGATAGCGAGAGGGCGTGCGCTCGCCGGCTGGTCGGGCCCCATTGCCGCGACGCTCCAGGGTGTTGATCTCCGAGAAGACGGCGGCCTTGTCGAAGAGTGCCAGGTTGCCCTCGAAGTCGAAGTCCGTGTCCAGGCCCTCGTCGGTGCCGTCGCCGAAGCACTCGTCATCCTTCATCTTCATAGCCCCCCCGCCGATGCCGTTCTTGGCCCCGTTCTTCTTCGGCGTAGCTTGGCTCGCACCGCGGCTGCTGGAGGACCCTGAGGAACACAGGGAAATGGGGGGGGGGGGGAACAGAGGGGTGAGGTAACGCGGACAAACATGCAAGCTAAACAAACGAGTGTGGACTAAACAAAGGAAGGAAGACAGAAGGAGCCCCGGGGGGGGGGGGAAGAGACCCCCAAAAGGGGGTCCAGGAGTCTCGTCTCATAACACACCAGTCAGGAGCCTCCCGGACATCCCGCGGCACGTGTCTGACAGCAGCGGGCAGCACGACACAGAGCGGTGGCGAGAGTGTGTGTGAGTGTGTGTGTATGTGTGTGTGTGTAAACAGACCGGTGCAGTATTAACCACATAATCACACACACACACGCGTGCAGCCAAAGCAGCCAGAAGAAGAAGAAGAAAAAAAAAAAAAAAACTGGAAAAACCTGGCGTTCAGCTCTGACGGCGCTGCGCTCTCACGCTAAGCGACACGGTCTCACGCGAGCTGCTGCCGTGACAGCAATGCGCTCGGCCTCTCAGCTCCTCACGCAGATCACGTACCGGCCCGCTGAGGCCGCTGGAAGCCGTGCGCGCTGGGGGGAGGGGGGGGTTTCACACTCACTCTGTCCACACATAATCATGCTGCATGTAACCAATGGAGAAAAGGACGTTGAAAAAGATATTAATGCCTGAGCTACAGAGGTGATGACAAAAGAATCATAGACCCCCC